GTTTTCTACACAGACATTAGCAAGCTCAGTTTTTGTACAAAAATCTAACCCTTTTGTTCTTTGTCCTTGTTAGATTCCTCTTTCCTCAGTCATTCCTTCCCCGCAGCTTTTAGATGCCATGCTGAAATTTAATGTACATATTGTCTTCACAAACTCAGTGAGATAATGAGATAGAAATATTTGATATGATGGAACTCCACCCTCCTTTCCCCTTCTTTTTTTTTTTTTTTTTTTTTTAATGCCACAGCTGACCTAGCAGTACCTTACTATTGAAAAGTCCTATCTGCAGCAACCATTATATGCGTGTTGTTGAAGATGCCGGATACCTGCTTTTCAGCACACAGTGGAAGAAGCTGTCTTAATCAGTTTTCAGGACACTGCTTCTACTGCATTCCTCACCAGCTATCTTAGTTTCGCACTGTTAAGTGGGGTTTTTTTCTATCTTCTTGAATGTTGGTGGTGTTGCTTTTCTGCCAGAGGCAGTGGGGCCACTGAACGGCACTGCTCTCTGGATGAAAGAAGATCTGTGTGGAAAGTCCTTCATGAAGTATTGCTTCTGGATATGTTTTTATGTCCTTCCAGGAGCCTGATTGCTGCTCCTGAGAAGACCTAAATTCCTGAATATCTGATTAAGGTGGGTAGCTTGTCAGTGTTCTGAATTTTCTTAAGTGTTTGGGATGTTGATCAGAACTGGGACCTTCATCTTGTCTCTCCATTTTTGGAGCCTGTCTCTTTTTTTTTGTTTGTTTTGTTTTTGTTTTAAGTGCCTTCTGCTACCTTACTTGCTCACTTTCAGAGGAAGAAGCATCCAATTAAGTCTGCCAGAGAGATGCGCTGAACTTCTCCCTCCTCCCTCCTCCCCCATGCTGTGCTCTCATCTGGAGCACAAGAGAAAAGAGCAAAAGAACTGAGCAGTCTGGGGAGTCCATGTAGCTGGCAAGTAGCAAACACAATTTCTCTGCTCTTTTATTCTTTTACATTTAGTGTAGGCAGGGAACTGGGGGTTCTGCTAAGGCCTGCCGTGACCTGGGAGAGCAGAGTGAAGAGAAGTTGGAGAAGAAATGAGGCTGAGGTTCAGTCAGAACTGACGGGTTGAAGTCTGGGGTCAAAAACCTCAGAGAAGTTTGGGGTAGGCACCAGGCAGGCCTCCAAATTGGAGTTTAGAAAGGACAGCATGATTATATCAGAAAGCATTTATATAACTTAGATACTGAAAAAAGGCCTGATTTGGAGGCTGGTCAGTAAAATAAAGGGGTTAGCAGGGTGCTGACAGTATTTTGCCATTATTGGCAGTACTGAAATGATGTCAAGTAGACACCGTTCTGTCTGCTGGACCTCTACAGTACCTCTCTGAGTCTTCTGACTGTGTGTCAGCCCTTGGGATTGCTATTCTTTAGAGGTACCATTGCCATGCGCCAAGCAGCAACAGCGGGATACCTCAGTGTTTTACAAATTCTGCTTGTGTTCCCTGCTTCAGTACATGGCAACTTTCATAGACATCAGGGAAGTTGTTATCCAAGAGTAATTTGATGCTACTTCTGTGTTTTCTCCCTTTCCTTAAGAAAGTTTGGATTTACTGACCTTACCCTTCAACACCATTGTCTGGTCCCAGCTCAGCATTCAAAAGGATTTTTCTTAGAGATAAGTGAAGGCAAAAACACCCAACAGAAAAGGATCCCTCTCAGTATTTTCTCAGCATGGTTTTCACCATCCACTTTACCTGGATGTTCTGGGTGACATATAAATTAAGTATTACTGGAAAACGACTGAATGGTTTGAAGGGCCTGGCAATGGGACTTGGAGATTTCTTTCTTTCTAGTTTCCTTTAGCCTGTCCTAATACTTCTACATCAGCGAGATGTTCCAGCAATCAAGATGATAGTTTGTATTTCTTTGTGAGGCTGACAAAAAGTAGAATGCAGAGGTCTAGGTAAAACAAACTAGTTCTCTGTTTTGAACTATATTGGCACACACAAGATGAGAAGAGGACGTGGGAACCACCAACACCACTCTCCCTAAAACTGCAGCAAAGCTTTTCCTCTACTAGTGCCCACAGAGCATCTGCCCCAGGATTCTGCCACTCCATGCCCAGACACTTCTCCAGCCTCACAGGGAGCTGAATGCCTGTAACACAAGAGACGATACCTACAGCATGCCATAAGGAGGGAGCAGGAGAGACAAATGATGCTGCCCACATGTAGCCTAGGCCCCTGCAATGACAAGGGATTTGCCCAAAGAAAATGGAGCTGAAGCAACTTCCTGAGCCTTGCATCGGGCTGGGTTTTTCTTCTGGCCCTCCATCAGAATGGCTCACAAACTCACCCCAGTCATATCTATCTCCAGAGAGCCATTCTGACCTCTGGGAGAGGCGTGCCTGCCCTCACCTCCACTGCATAATCCATCTTTCCTAATCATTTTCCAGAGTGTTTGATGACAGTTTAGGGTGTTTCATACAAGCAGCCCCATCCACTCACCATGAGTGTCTGCATACCTTTTGCCCAGTTCTTGTATCCCGGTGCACTCCTAACACCACAGAAACAACTACCATGATCACCATGCTATTTCCTAGACTTGCAAGCAACAAGTGACTTATGCAGTCTCCTACAAAGGTCAGGCTTTTGTGGATCTGAATTATAAACTTTCCTGGAACTCTGCTGGACTTGACAAAGTGCACAGTTATCACACCATCAAAACCAAGAGGTGGGAGAAGAAAGAGGAGGTTCCCCAGAGAAAGGGGAAGAAAGGCTGGGCAGTTCCATTCCCCACAGTTTTTTGATCAACCTTCAGAGATTTCAGTCAAATGCAAGATTATAATGAAAATGTTGCAATAGATAATATTTTACAGAGGTAAACTGTACACACCAAGTACCCAATATGCATACTATATAAAAATATTTTAAATAATTTTGTGCTAAATCCCGTACTCTCCTGGAAGCAAGTAAACCAGAATATAGTCAAATTCTTTGTTTAGCTCTCTTTTTTATGTAAGGTTCACATTTTCTTCTAACATGGTGGTGGGAGAATTGTGAAATATAAATAGTTTCTGTTTTTACTCTTCACCGTTATGGACAATAGTGACCACTCCCACTTGCTCAGATTAGCTATGTTTTGTAGGCAGCAAATGCACTTGGCAATGCAGATTTTTTTCAAGGCTTTCTCAATTCTGCTAACATAAAACTTTGCATTGATCTATTAAAATTGCTCTTTTGTCTAAGTACCTTCTAAAGGGCTATATTCCTTTTCATGGCAATGACCATAGGCTTCAACCTGTACTTTTCACCACTGTTACAAAATTATCTCCTTCCCCCAGGTCTATTACACCACATTTTTAAGCAAGTTACAGTTTCACTTGAGAATATTTGACCTGTGATGACCCAAACTTCTGGAAAACATTCCCTAAAGTTTTGCTCTTTTCTCAGTTTCCAGGCTTTACACTCCAACCTGGCACTTCTTGTCCAGCGTGATAAGGGCTGTGTAATTTGTGAACCTTCCTAACACATTGGTTTCACACTTGCCTTTCTAGTATTTAGATGAGCATTTTAGCAATGTCAGATATCATTTAAAAGCCTAGTCCTGCACAGTATAAACATTATCTAAAAGTATTTTTGTAAAAACCCTGTATGAAATGCCTGTGCTCTTCCAGCAGTCTTTCAGGTCCTCAATATACACTTGATTTCTCAAAGTGTTTTGAATATATCTTAGTACAGGACCTTATTACTACTTCTTCTATACAGCCACAATCATGATCTTCACTACAGAAGCACAGGAGTGTTGGGCTCCTCAGGCAAGAACTGAATGCTTTCTTTTGGCACTAGAATGGTTAACAGCTGGCATTATTATTATGATGTCAATATTTCAACTTTTGCCCTGGCAACTTTGCCCTGTGAGTTTAGTTCTGCTTTTGTTGCTTTTCCAGTTGCACATTCTAATTCCTCTTGAGCAACAACCCCCCCCCACCCCTGCCCCAATTTGTTCAGCTGTTTCATAAACTGTTTCCACTTGTATTGCATGTGTAGTCTATGCCAGAAGCACAAGTTATAGATTTTATAGCTTTTTCTTAGCTTATATAAATATCATCACTTGGTCTTCATTACCAAATTTTGGTAATATAGCTCTAGTGTCAATGATTACACTTTTTAAAATATGAAACAGTCAGTGTTGGTACAGCATTTTCTCATTTAAAAAGACATTTGACAGATTTTCTTGGACTATGGATGCTTTGAAGAAATTAGTCTTTGAAACCTAGACTTTCCAACCGGACTGTTCCTTGAATCACAGCAAAGAGCAGGCTATCTTACAACTAAGACAACTAAGGATGCAGCTGATCCCTTCAGCATCGGTTTAAGAAGTGGATGGCTCATGGTCATTTCTTTGATGTGAAGCATATAATGGTTGGAAATGGAGCTGGTTCCATGCAAGCAGTGCCTTCTTGCCCCTCTCCATGGCAGAAAGGAGTTAGAGGAAAACAGGTTGGCCCTAACTCCTGCCTTGTGCTGGGAAGTGACACCTTTGCTGCTTTAGAGCAGGAGATGTCAGGAAAGGGATTCTCTGTATTGGAGATGATGCTTCTGCATTGCATTACCACAGTGAAAAGGTGTAAGCTGATGCTGATCCTGTCAAATCTTTGCCTAATAGTTTTCCTTCCTTCTCTCTTTCTGATTTTTCGGAAAAGGTTTTCTTCCTGCTGTTTTCTTCCACATATTTATACTACTTGAAATGGCTGAGGACCAGATAAATTCTCCTCCTCTTTTAATCCAACACTTTCCCTGTGCTTTGGACAACCTTCTCCTATGCCTAGCAGAGCCTTCTTCCTACATACCTGCAGCTGCTTTTTGCATTTACATGACAATACATGAGTCGGCAGACACAACTCCTGGCCCTGCGGGACAGGTGGACAGAGCACCCTGGGATGCTGCCATACAACCGATAAAGGAGGAGCAGGATGTCCAACCTTTCAGTGAGGAACACAAGACCAAATGAGTCTGTCCTGTTTCTAATGAGAGCGTGGCTGAAGCCAACAAATTCTCATCCCTCTCCTTTCCAAAAAAGCTTTTGAAAATGGTGGAAAGCGACCAGTTTATGTCCATTTGGTGGAACAAGGGTGGAAAATGCATTGCCATCAATAAAGACTCTTCAAACAGGAAGTGCTGGGTAGGGCAGGACCTATGCGTGTGTTTGCAACCGAGAGCATAAGGAGTTTCATTCAACAGCTCAGCCTCTATGGATTCATCAAAATGTAATGGGATTTCCAAAGATCAGCCTCACTTCCTGAATTCCTGGCAGAAGAAGCAGCAGCTTTTGCTCACAGCAAAGTACAGCAGTTGCTCTGCACATCAACCAACTGACCTTCACATAAGATAAGGTCTTGCAATATAGGAGATGAGGATGATAGTGAGTGGTCTGTTTTTAATTTCCTTCTCGGGTCGTTTTCAGGAGGTTTTGAGTTAGTCTTTCTGACTAGTAGAAATGTGGATAAGATGCATTTCAGTTATATCTCCTTAGATTGAACCTGTTCAATGGAAAGACAGACTCAGCAAAACCTGATTTCTTTGAATGTATTTGCTATGTGTCTTTCTGTACCAAATCTGAAATCTTCCTGCT